TCCAAGACGACCGAAGAGCACAACTTACACTATATCTGCATCGCCTTCTCCATTGCCTATAAAATGAAACCATCATGAAGTTAGAAGATTAAGGAGGTTATTGGTCAAGTAAACGGACTCGCACGTTAGGCCTGAAGATAAAAATATGCGAATATTTAATAACATACGAAATAATATCTCAACAAAATAAAGTAAAATTTCCATCACATAAAATGCGAAATGTAGGCCTATATTCACAAACAACTGGGGAAATAGAGTGCAATTAAAAAACAAAACAAAACAAAAAAAAACAGTATATTTTGCACCACAATAAAAATGTTTCATGAGTTGCTGCTGCTTATAGGCTATAGGCTATTGAAAAAGTTATCACTCTAATTAAGAAGCCCATTCATACAAGTTCCTGTTTTGAATACATTTAGTTGTATAAAAAAAATCAGCTAACAGAAAAATGTGCGTAGTTTTTAACTATACATCGCTACACAATGATATATAATTATCCTAAATTATTTACACTTACATAAATCATACCATTATTTGTGTATTTCCATCATGATCTCACCATTTCAGGTGAAAGAGAAATATCGCATCACACACTAATTTAACCGCACACTTTCTTTCTCATACAACAACATGGGCTTGGTTTTAATAACCCACATCATAATTCTCATTGCCATTTCATCCAACCGTCATACTGTGTGTCTTTGAGAAAATACTTGGGCTAAGTAGGTCAATTACGACAGTTACTGCCATTGTGGCGGACAGACGTGTCAGTTGCAACGACAGTTAATTGAATTTTTAGCAGTTACAGTTACCCCAAACTTTATGCCATCCATTGCCACCCACCCCCAACACTCAGGGACACTACAGAAATATCTTATAGGTAAAAAAAATAATAATAATGCATTGCTCTTTTTTGATTTAGGATACATCACTAGCCTATAATACATGCTCATAAATACTTCATGATGTTATATTTCATTGCAGCACACGGCTTTCAATTGCACAATATAGCCTTTAGTAAAATTAATTATTTTAGCCCATAGTAAATAAATTGCACGCATGAGGGAAAAACGGACAATATTATTTGGACTGGATATCGATATTCATATACATATTTTATAGCCTATTAATAGTGTAAAATAATTAATAGGCTTATGCATAAAATACATTAACAATATAATTCGGCATTTTGTGTTTCTGGGTTTTCACATTGCATATCTTCAGGTGATGAACTAAGGCAGAGATTCTAATATGTTCAAGAGTTTGTCTCCCAACATGAAAACAGCGTGAAAATGCCAAGAAACACGGAAATGCACGTCATGCGAGGCGCTGGAAGTTATTGAACATTTCTGATTTTAATTAAAGACATTATTATGGCTTTTGGTAAGCCACGGGTTTCAGAAATATTGATGCTCAACTTCATAGAGATTAATGAAAGTGATGAAAGATAAATACATTTAGGCTAATGGGATTTCCCTTGATGCTGATCAATTTAAGGGCTTTGTGGCAATTATTTGGCACAGTTTTGCTCCTTTCAAACTAAACAGATGCACACAGAACAATATGACGGTTATACGGACATCAACGACAACGGGTTGAATAGGCCTATATATCGACATTCAGACATTATAGATAATCTGAACTTGCCTGTGGAGGAAGAAAAGAGCAATGACGAGGAGGAATCCCACTGTTTATTTCATTTTTAGGCCTATTTTTATTGAATTAAATGATGTTCTTGCGAAATCGTTTTTGAGAATAACCTATATCGATATCCATAAAAGTACATAAAAGTAGGCCTACATAGGCTAGTTATCCTTGTTGTCGCTTATTAAAAATCACGTGACGCGCAGAGTGCGATTTTAACCAATATCTTTTTATTTTTCGACAGTGTACAATGTCTTCGCAACCATCAAAACTATAGCCAATAATTTATTAAATGTCATGTTAAACTGAAAACAAAGGGGGAAATGTCAATTTACACGTTGCTGTCTGTGCTCTCGTTAAATTATAAACAATTTATTCGTCTTCGGGAAACGTGAGGTAAAGTAGAGGTATAGGCGAGACAATCTCTCAAAAATTACAAACACGATACATGCACTATAAATAGGCCTACTCTACCTATATTTAAAAGTTATGTGCTGAAATAAATAGCATTTCGTCTCTCAAAGAAGTCCAAAATAATATTAGGAGGCAAAGTTGTTTACATCCTGGCCATAATGTGGTTATAAACCAGTTTCGTCCGTGATGTTTGGAACGACTCACTGTTTATTTACCGATAAACAGGGCGTGAAGGAAGCCCACAACACGTGCGTACATGGTACTGACTTTTAACAATGCTGTTACAGTCTGTTTCATATGTGTACAGGCATGCTCGACCACACAGTAGGATGCACCCAGGGGTTGTAACTTCGAATTGGGTGTTGTTTTAATAGTGCACAAGTCACTGAAAGATCAGACGCCTTGACGTTCACGAGCAAAACCAAGGGCCTCCATTCCTGCAGAGCGCGTCTTTCTTTTTAATTACGGGCAACGTAGTCCTGAAGTAACATATGGGACGGGCAGACGCCGTTCTAATCCGCACCCCGCGTTGGTCGATGTTAGGCTAAACAATGGGCTCTTTTTAACCATTCACGAGCCAGAGGCTTCTTATGCGCACAGGTTGCCTTGGCGCTTGGGATAGCAAGAGGCAGGCACGGAAGTTTACTGGTCCCTCGACTCGATCCTTCCACACTTCCGTGTCTGTCAGACAACCTGTGCGTGACTGAAAGGAAACTAACTGCGCTCAACAGCTTGAATATAGGCTAGGGCCTATATATTTATACCACTACCCCTACTATCTTATTGCTTAATTTTACCACACCAAACAGCACAAGAAATAACATATTGTATTAAATAATATCATATGTATTGCATGCTTGTTAATTGGCCAGAAAAGTGTTTGATTTTACTGTATTAACAAGCATATAATAAAGCTTTTCCCTGATTTTCCATTCAGTTAAAGGCTATTTCAGATCATTAAGATCTGCATCTACTACTTTGATAAAGTATGATTATAATAATCAGGCCATCAAAGCTAATCAATTGAGCAGCGGGGTATCTATTTGGTCCCTCTCATCCAGTCTAAGCTCACTTTTTGCACTATTTATTTAAGTTTGTGACATCAATGAATCTGATAATTTTGTCAAAGATTAAATTAAAAGGGTTTTGTGCCAGTAATAACATATTTAGACGTTTTAAAAATGAAGTCTAAAGGGATTGGGTTAAGAGCACCAAAAAGCATGTGATTTTAATTTCTCCGACAGCTCACATTAATCTGTGGATTTGTGGATATATGAAACTGATAATAGTACTAACACCCTAACAACTCTGGAAGTCTGGTAATGTACAGGTCACACACCCACAGAACAGACCCTTCCTTCCTCTTTCCTTTAAATTCCTAATCATTAAATCATCATCATTCAAAATAACAATTTTGCATCTTGGTGGAAATTGTAGAAGGTGGAACAGCATAGGCTACTGAAAGTGTTTAAAACTATGCTCTAAACCTCAGCCATTGTCATTCCTGTTTGACCTTTGATCCTGGTATTAACTACCACCAAAGTGAACAAGCTCGATTAAACCGAGCAATATTTGGTCATTTGGAATGGCGGAGGAAAAGAACTAAAACTAAAATGTATAAGCTGATTATGAACATATGCTGTGGTGAAACTGTGTGTCATAGCAGCGTCTACTGGTCAAGTTAATACCTATTTAGTTAATGCACACCCAAGGTCTGCATTCAGAGTCCATTTAGGCCCCCCCCATGAGACTAAAGTTGTGGATTATGTTGGATGGCACAGCTACCCAACATCTAGCCTATTTCCTCTGTTAGGCCTGTAGCCCATTAATGAAAAATCTCCTTAAAGGGACAAATGGAAATACTTTCACAGCGGATTATTCAGACTCTAATGGCAATGTTTTTAAATGTCCTACATGAACAAACAGGCTAAGAGCAAACTGATAATCCCAAACACGAGCAGCCATTCCCAGAACTCGGTCGACAGGAATCTACAATTCATCTAAACTGCCCCGTGTAACACGTTCATAAAGTCCATTTAGTGTATTTTGTCTAGTGCATGTGGTTCACCACCACTGCAAGTCCCGTTGAGCATTTGTTGTTCTTAATTTTCAGTCTTTGTGCTGTATCTTGGCCAGAACTCATCCTGGTGAGACACGTGTAGCTCCTCCACTGCAAACCCTCTGGGGTCCATCATTAGTCCAATTAGGCAGGTGCACAAAGGAGGCCTTTCCAATCATTTACACCTTTCCAATGAGCTCTCACATGCACTTAATCTCTTACAAATAAGGTGCACTTGTTAGAAAGAGTAATGGAGACCACTAATTAATTAGACTAGAACCAGATTATTGCTTAGAGACTCCTGAATGGACTGTGCGTGATGCTGAGCCAGTATATTAGTGGGAAGAGACAGGATTTGTTATTCTGTCAGCCCCTGCAGGCCAGTTCAGAGGACATAAATAGCTTTTTTAGGAATAATTATCTAATTAACTATATGTCAGCAAAGCATACTTATTGTAGTGACGCAGATGCCTTGTCACATTTTGACTTTCTTTGTTTCTGTAAAATATCGAGTTTTGTCATTAACCCTTTTGCAGTAAGCTTAACCTCTTGTTTTCGTACTGACAATTCAGCATTTTCAACCTCTATTTTCTGAATCGGAGCCCCATCTTGCTCGATTTCAGAAGCAGGAAACTCACTTTCATCATCCGCCATTTTTTAAACCTTTACTAACTGCATATTTTACATCATCAGCTTAAAGTGTAAACATTAACAAACACAATTAAGCATTTCACAAACAGTTCAGTACTTCGTTTCACAACAGCCCCCCCCCCCTTTTTTTTTTTTTTTTACCACCAATGTGCATTGGATTTGTCTTTGTTTGTAGGCTATGTGTGCACACTGTTTTATATATAACGTAGTTCAAGTGAAAGCGCTTTCATACCTCAATTCCACAAACGCTGAAGCCTGTTGTTCGCCTGCTCTGTATTCTCTTCGTTTGCACGTGCGGGCTTGTAGTCCTTCAAATCCGCGGCGATCAATCCCACGCAATAATCCACAATATAATCCAACAAAACTGTCATGAATGAGCCTCGTCCGACTTCAGATCAGTAAACTTTTCTTGTAGTCGTCCAATTCGATCTACTCCTGCGATGTTGATAAATGCTCATTCAGGCTCCTTTGGTCAAACTTTTTTGACAGATGGCTTCATTTGTCTGTTTCTGACGCGTGCTTATGTCTTGAATCAAATAAATAACTGTCCATACTTTCAAAATCAATTTCAGATAAGCCAAATCCTTTTATTGTCCATTTGGCATTGCAAACAACAAAATAAACGAAAATAAAACACTAAACCAAAATTTCTGACTCAAACATACAGGCATGAGCACAATCCAACTCTCCACATTGCACAGCACGGTCAAAAAGTTTGTTGACCCTTCATCAGCGCACCTGTTACTCATTATCACCACACTTAAATATACTCAAAATACTAATACGCCCTCTAGTGTCACAAAAAAAAACTTCAAAATAATATCTCCAACACTTATGATTAATAATGGCACAGCAGCAGCAGAATACAGTATACGTTCACATACAGTTCGGTTATGTGAATGGATCTTCTATAACCTCAGTTCGTAATTTTTTTGTAAGACTCTTTGTCACTTTTACCATTGCTCGGGTTAATCTAGTGGTGCGTTCAAGTTACTTTCGTTGATAGAAAAATGGCAGTGTACCTTCTTTTAATTAAATGAACAAAAATACAGCAAGGTTATTAATACCATACTTCTATAAAATGATGAACAAACAATGTGCATCAGGTGTGTTTTGCTTTTTTGTTTGTAATTAAGTTATGAAGCCACTGTAAACTGTATTGTTTGTTATATAGTTATATTACAATGCTATCACGTTTTGAGCAGGACATTTTGTACAGGAAAATCTTCTCAATGGCACGTAAACTCACGCCAGAGGCCCACACGGAAGAAAATGAATAGTTGAATAAAGTCGTTATTTTTGTTTGTTTTCTTGCACACAAAATGTATTCTCGTCGCTTGATAAACTTAAGGTTGAGCCACTATAGTCACTCTGTCTTTACTAACTTTCTAGGCTGGCAGATGCAATTACCTTGCAGCCTATGAGAGAGTGATCCAGCTCTCAGATTTCATCAAAAATATCTTATTTTGTGTTCTGAAGATGAACGAAAGTCGGAGTTGGAACAACATGAGCTGAGTAATTACTGACAGAATTTTAATTTTTTGGGTGAACTAACCCTTTAAGAGCTCTGTACGTTGTTCGTCCCTCATTCGTCCCGCTCGCCACAGTAAACATGATGAATGGCGACTGTAGAACGCAAAAGCCGAATCCCGGACATTTTGGGCGTTCTCGAAACACATTTTCGGGCAGACTTATCGCAGAGACTCACGAGTAGCCTAGACTTGTTGTTTAACTACTGCGTGGTTACCGGTAGGCGTGGCCTCCTAGGGCAGCAAAGCAAGTGCATTCTGGGAGTTGTTGTCTTTCATCCATATAAGCCAAAAATACATTTTCTGGCTTTTCTCAGTCTAGAAAGCTCCAAATTCAAAAATAATTTCACATTTCTTCTACATAAATGACCCATTTTAAATATATATTCCTCTTATCCCTTTAATTTAGAGGCCGCTAACATGATACTATTACAACAGAAAACACTCAACACGCTCTTGCCTGCTCATCCACATAAAACAGTGCTTGGTGTCTCGAGAACGCAAACCCTGAAATAGATTCCAAGATGCAAGCCTTGAAAAAAAAAAAAAAAGTTATCTCTGCGCAAACCTCAAAAGGCAAACCCGCGAAAACGCCAACGGCGTGCACATGCACATCACGTGTTTAGTCTATAGCTATGTGAGTTTGAATATATATGTGCGCAGGCGTGTTGTCTACCACCACCAGCAGTCAATTTTGATATAGGTGTTATCAACTGGCCGGGGATTTGAGATCGCACTAGACGTGAAGGACTATAATGCATTAAGAGCTCGCTCAAGTACTGCGGAGCTGAACCATTTAGCGCTTTGTAAGTAATCAGCAATATTTAAAATGTATACGATGTTTACTAGGGAGCCAATGCAGTGTTGATAGAGTGCTAATATGGTCATACTTCCTGGTTCTGGTAAGAACTCGAGCGGCTGCGTTTTGGACCAGCTGTAGTTTGTTTATTAAGCGTACAGGGCAACCACCCACAATAGCATTACAAGAATCTTGCCTTGATGTCATGAACACATTAACCAATTGTTCCGCATTTGTCATTGAGAGCATATGATGTCATTTAGATATTTTAAAATGGAAAAATGCGTTTTACAGATTTAACTAAACTGACTATAGCTATAGTTCATTTTTTTTCTTCCATCATCTTTCAGGTCCCTTTCTAAAGCGGGATAATTAGTCCTCCAAGGGCTCCTAATTGTTTGAGGATAAAGAGGTGATTTGGGCTTGGGAATACTTCATCATGCTAATCAAAGGCTGGAGAAATCGGAGCACTTGATAGTGCTTGTGAGCTCTCAGAAACTGCTCTGTGAGCGGCTGCACCATTGACCCCAGTGCCACTCAACTTTGCCTCAGGTACTACTGCCCATTGTTTCCTTTAATGAATCAGTCATTCAGATTCATTAGTTCATGGAATGGGAAACAAAAAAAGAGTTTGCTACCTGCATGTGTATAACATAATCACCCAAATAGAGGAGTGTGACATGGGTCTTCCCTATAGTGAGACTCTAAAAGCCTGTATTTAAACAATTAAATAATCATTTGTTAAAGATCTTGTTTTAAACAAATGATCTTTTTGGGTAAAATATGTGGCCAAAAATAAATGGAGCACATAAACAGAGAAACAAAGACATCTGGATGTTTTTGTAACAGTTTGTGGCTTTCATCAGAAATGCATTGTTCCCTCACAGCTCCATGTAGAAACTGTTTTGTTTTTTACCATTTCCATGCAATGTGCTAAAAATGTCAATAAAGTCGACTTTGACGTTGAATGTGAAATTTTCTTTAATAATTACATTGCTGAAACTTGAAAGAGAATGCAAATATGAATATTTCCAATAACTGGCTTTAGTTCTAAATATATTTTTCATTGTGACATCACAGTTGTTATGTATCAATGGATGTAGGTACAAATCCCATTGAGACCACGAGGTGTTGTTTGAAAGTTCAAATGAGCCAATAATGGTCAACCTGCTCTTGGTCAGTTCCCATAGCAATAAGATACCCATGGGTACTGGGTTAATCTGAAGGAAACAACATAGTAAAGAAACAGTACATCTGATCTCAAGATTGGCCCTCCTGGGCTGATTTTGGAATTATGACATCTAAGAGTTTCCAGGATGATTGACAGCTTTAACTTCTCCCTGTTTTTGTCCAGTTTTCCATTTTTCCTCTAATTTGCAGTGTCCTTGCCCACCTGTTCTGTGCGCAGACAAGCACAAAGCAAAGCACGTGCTACACCAGACACTCAGCCACTGGTTTTTGTCCCAGTCAGACAAAAGGCCTATTTAGGCTGGGTCACACAACCAAGGGCAGAATGTGGAACCTGAGGGGTGGGGGTGAGGGCATTATGGAGCAAATCTGGTGGGGTTTAAACTCCCTGTCCCGGCCCCTGCGTGAGTTGGTGAGCTGTGTGCTTCGGGGGCAGCTGTTTAGACTTGTTTATTTGTGGGTTATAAGTCCGTGTGTTTGCGAAGGATTCTCTGTTAATTCATATTACATCAACACAAGGGACGATGGTGCAAATGGAGGAATTAAACCTTTATTTAAAAGATTAGTTCACTTTTTAAAGGAAATTGCTGATAATTTACTCACCCCCATGTCATCCAAGATGTCCATGTCTTTCTTTCTTCAGTCGAACAGAAAAAGTTTTTGATGAAAATATTCCAGGATTTTCTCCATATAATGGACTTCAATGGGGTCCAAACGGTTCAAGGTCCAAATGAGAGTTTCAGTGCAGCTTCAAAGGGCTTTAAACGACGCCAGACGATGAATAAGGGTCTTATCTAGTGAAACGATTGGTCATTTCAAAAATAAATAAAAAAGTTTAAGTTTTATAAGCACAAATGCTGATGTGTGTTTGCGACTCTCCTGTTTGAACTCATTCGTCAAAATGAACAAATATTTTTTTCGAGTCATTTGGTTCATTCAACGAATAAAATGAAAGAAATGACTTGAAAAAACATTTGTTTTTTTTGATGAACGAGTTCGAACAGGAGAGTCACGAACGTGCGTCACAGAACAGAGCAAGGCGAGCATTTGTGCTTATAAAACTTAAACTTTTTTACTTATTTTTGAAATGGCCGATCATTTCGCTAGATAAGACCCTTATTCATCGTCTGCTGTCATTTAAATCCCTTTGAAGCTGCACTGAAACTCTCATTTGGACCTTGAACCGTTTGGTTCCCATTGAAGTCCATTATATGGAGAAAAATCCTGGAATGTTTTCATCAAAAACCTTAATTTCTTTTCGACTGAAGAAAGAAAGACATGGACATTGGATGACATGGGGGTGAGTAAATTATCAGCAAAAGTTTTTTTTTAAAGTGAACTACTCCTTTAAGAGGTCATCACATTTTCAGATTAGGAAATCAGTTGTTTGAGTGAAAAAACGAACTCTTCGGGAATAAATCAAGGTTAGATCGTCTGAACCCATTTGTCCTCTAAAATATTATTGCATAATAATCTGTTAAAAAAGAGGCTTGATTTTATTCCTCATGAGCCTAGAAAATATATTTTGACACTGATGGGGGAAAAAACAGCAATGGTCCAGCGTAAATGTATGGATTGAGTTGATTGTCCATTTGACTACACCATTGGGCTCACAATAGCATTTTTATTGACTTCCGAGTCCCCGGGGACGAGCAGACGTGGATCATGGGGGTCACACTGGAGTCCCCGCGGAGGGCAGTGCTTTTAACCTTGCGTGACACCTCACGTCGTAGGCCAGACTTATGTTACGGTGAAAAATATATATCAAAGTGGACCATATTCTATACCTGTGTTTATGATATTGCATCATCCTGAGAAAAAAAAAAGATTTTAAAAATGATTTGCTTGTAAATATACAGTACTTTAGTAAATACAAAGTCTGCATTTTCTCCAAACGCTTTAATGACGAGAAATGAAGGCATTATGACACATTGTCTAGACTGTACTACGTCACGACTTTCCGCGTTAGTGAGAGTTGTTTTTGTTGATTGTTTCCTTTGTGGAGGCTTTGGCGCTTCCGCGTCGAGACTGTGACCCACGACGGCCCTTCTGTTTGCCAGCAGTCGTTTGGCCTAGTTTCTAACAAACAACGCATCTATTTACTCTCTTTTCTAGCTGTCATTTTTATGTTAATAAAGGATATATGGAACAGTGGAAATAAGGTTGCTTTGTTGGGACTGTAGTTTGGCTTTTGGTGGAAAACAGACA